TTCTCACCACCTGAAAATCAGCCTGAGCCTCTTCAATCCAAATCTTCTTACCCTTCCCCTCACCAACTTTCTGCTCTTGAGGAAGTATATCAGATCTCCCCTGCACCCCAGAGTTATCCGGAGGAGGAGACTCTTTCTGCTTTGTAACGTTAGCCCTCGAATCTCCTTCGCTTGGAGACCCTCGAACCACAGCTGCAAAGCTCAGAGAAGGACTTACTGTAGAAGACGGAGAGCCCTTGTCACCCAAAATTAGCGGAGAGTCCATCCCCTGTGCCTGAACCCCAACATTTCCAACATCTAAATCCCCAACCACCTGATTAGCAGCCTCAATTCCTGCTCCCTCCTCATCAGTCAACGCATCACAAAAAATCTCATCAACTACCCCCTCCTGCGCCTCTGTACCATCAGCCTGCTGACCCTGCTTTGGCTTCCAAACCTTCTCTGGTTCCACCCCCTCACCTCCACAACAGTGCCCAAACACACCACACTTAGCACAGACTTTTGGCAAGTTACCATACTCAATCCCCACCTCAAATCCCGGATCATCATCTGGATAAAACTTGACACGAGCCGGAAATTCACAATCTGCCTTCATCTCGATACAGGCTCGAGAAAAACCCAATTGACCACCCACTCTTGTCTTCTGGTCCATCCAAAGCGGCTTCCCCAGAGTACTGGTCACCCATTCCAACCCTTCCTGCGCCACATATTCCAACGGTAATCCCCAGATTTTCACCCATATAGGAAGGGTTTCTACCCGGGGAATGACAGGCTGAATACCAGGGTGCCACTTCCTGAAGAAAATAGGGTTACCTCTATGATGCCAGGGGCCTGAACGGAAAACCCAGTCACAAGATGCCGCCGATGGGAACTGGAAAACTATGAGTTTCGTACCAAATCGAGAGACCCGCACCAACCCATCTCTCCCCCATAACTTGTTCGCCCATGTCTGAAGAGCTGGAATCTCCGGTCGACTGCCCACGAACTGACCAATCAACGAGTTCTTCCACCTCTCCGCACCCTTTTCTTTGACCTCCTTCGGAAGCCTGAATCCATCCTTCACCTTCTCCGGCGGATGAAAACGAAGTCGATTCTCAGGGGAAACCTCGAACAACTGAGCCCAAGAGACACCCTCGCCAGTAGGCGACGAGCCCGACGGCGACGAGCCCGACGGCGAGGCCGCCATCTAGGCCCGGAACAAAATCCCTAGATCGCTGGAGAAAAGAGAGAAAAGAGGAGAGAGAAAAGAAAATTTCCGGGTTCAAATCTTCATAATGATTTGAAGGTTTTTCGATAACAATATTTCAGTCACATCATCAAATGACAATTTACATGATGAGTTCCTCCCGTCCCAGCTTTTAGGTCTGGAATTGTATACATGGTGTGTGTCTTCTTCCATAACCTGATAACCATAGTAATATTTGAAGAGTATAGTGCTTTTGATGCTTGGATTTATGAAGAGGGATATATATATATGTTTGGTTGCCACTTCAATTCCACCGAATTTTCCCTTCCTAGCTTTAATGATGGTGTTATTGATTCTGAAGCTTCAATGATGGTTAACAAAGCCATATAATCTTTGCCCACTCCATACAAGGAAAAAGGTAGGCATTGCCTTATTCTATGGGATGAATGAAAATGGCTGAAATATGCCAAAAATAAAAGCCTGAAATATGGAGTCTTTGATACGTGGAAATTTTGTGATAAGGGACTCGTTTTCTATTGCAGTCTTTTCCTACTATAACGTAGAGATATGAGCCAGGAACTATCGAGGAGAAAAGAGTACATATCAGAAATAGTTAAACACTTAAAACATTTTGAATTGTGAATAAAAATGACAAATATGTTTGAGTTTTTTTTTTTTTTTGACGAAACGATCACAATAAAAGCGTTTTAAGGTGTTAAATAGACGATCAGGGGTGACCATCGGTCGATTTGATTTAGAACCACATTGAATCAAGATAAGATTTTACCAAAATAAAAGAAAATGAGGATCATGAATGGACCAGAAGTACTTTTGATTCATTTGGTCCGATTCGGTCATATCCAAATTCAATTTTGGTTCACTTTTTTTTCATAATTAAGATAATTTATAAAATAAAAACCGAATCGATATACATACGATCCGATCCGATATGGTCCTTCTTAACGATCCGGTACTATCCAATTCGATGGAGACCGAATCATTATCCATGCCAAATCATCCCTTTAATTCATGGGATGAGATCATGTGTGGCTAAGGGGATCTCATTAGTCACTTTGACTAACCCAATAAGAATTTAGCACATTTAAATTAATATTTAGATTTTTAATTAACGAGAATTTTTAATGTCATTTCACCATTTATTTCATGAGGCTTGGAAATTAAAAAAACACATAGTATGCACCCAACGCCAACCGTCGCATAACCTGGAGATTTTCTATCACCGGATGTCGAGATTTTGCACCCAGTTCCAATGGTTGACGGACGTGGGCGGTGGGCACAACTCATTCTGATTTAAGTTGAATTATAAATAATTTATTACACAACTCAATTTGAAAAATATGTGATGAATCTACAGTTATTTGCATAAGTTTATGCATTATATGTGTTAAACGAAGCGAAGTTGGTGTATTCTCATTTGAGATAATACTTGTCCTTCCGTATATATGTATAAGCTTATGCATTATATAATATATACTAGATAATTGGCTCGCGCTCCGCTGCGGTTTATCTAAAAATATATATCAATTAGAATTGAAAAATATTTTAATTTAAATGAAGGTTGGTGATATTAGAACACGAAATAAGTTTTTCAATAATCATTAACCTTTGGAATACAAATGTAGTTTTTTATTGAATAATTTTTTCCAAATTTTTGAACACACATTATAAAATCTATAATAACGCAATCAAGTAATGATGGTCATTCAATCTCGATTCAACCAAATCTAATGATACTTAACAAATAATTTTTTTTTAAAAGATACTTAACTTACAGTTAGGGGGTAACTGGTAAGTCATTGTGTGTGTAAATTTTTATATGTAATGACCTTTAAACTTGGACAACGAACATATCATAATTGATTTGGCCAGAACAAAGCCTACTAATGAAGTATAACATGAAGTTCTTGCGTGAGGTCGTGTGAATAGTGGTCAGGCTAATTTAGATACTTTAATTCATTAGTAGTGTTTTTTTTATTTAGACAGTGGTTGGTTAGGGGTAATCAAAAGTTATTGGGCATATTAGATCTGATTAAGGGATGAAAATACTTAGTTATTCCATGTAACCATGTCCATGTGCGTATTAGTTTTATTCCAATTTAATGAGTAGCGATTAAGTTGATTAGTAATTAATCATTACTTGGAAAGTGAGCGACCAACACCCAAGGATTGCCATATTTAAAATATTGTTCCAAACTAGGGGTGGAAGTTTGATTTAACTATTTGGGATCCATCAAATACCACACAAAATTTATCAATACTTGGTATTATCGATTACTGAGTTAATTTTTTGGATTTGTGATTGACATAGATTTTTAAGTAGTATTCAATATTCTAGATATGCAATTGGAATTTGATATATACCAAGATATCGAGCATTTCCAAAAAATTTAACATGATACAATAAATCTTCCCTTAACTCACGGAGCTTCAAATTGCCCTCTCAAATAAATGAAGGACATGGTTCATCCTTAATAATCAAATGTATAATTAACTATATGATTGTAAGAAAGGACTAATTCTTATTGACTTGTGTGTATGCTCTATCTTAGAAGAATGAATTGCTTAGCTGTATTGATGGGTAATTATAGTTAAACTAAATTGAGATTTAGAGAATTATAAGTGATTTAATAATATTGAAGTATAAGTTCTGTACATATGATTGTAATGAATGGCTAATTCTTATTAACTGATGTTTATGTTTACGATGAAATATTTTAGAAGAATGAATTATTGTATTGATGAATGACTAAAGTGAAACTAAATTTAGATTTAGAGAATTATGAGTTATTTAATAATTGGGATGTATAAGTTTAGTCAATTGAACATAATACCCCAATATTTGTATGCTTGGGGAGTATAAGCTGCTATACTATTATCATATGAAACTATTTCAGATTGAGATTGATTTGGTCGGTATTTAGCATTTGAGGTACCAATAAACTTATTTCTCCTATTCATAGCAAAGTCCATACACCGATTAATGACTAATGACATGTAAAACTTGCAACTAAGTATAGCATTTAATTAGTCACGAATCTACAGCAGAAAAATGTGGGAGAAGAAAAAAACCCCTTTAACATAAGTCCTAGTGAAAGAGGAAACTTTTCTAATCAACACCTGAAAAAATCGTGGGTTAACAAGGAAAAAAAACTCAATTAAGTTAGGTACTTAGAAAAAAAAGAATTTCCAAAACTGTATTACACTTACAAGAGTAGCTAGTGTTGTGTTGGTAGTTAGTACTTAGACTCTAAAGAAGGTTACTTGCATGGAATGGGTGCTTATGTTTGGAGCCGACAGCGATGCTCTGTCTCTTTCTTCCTGAGCCAGATTTCAATTCCTGGTTCACATGCAGGACTAGAATATATAGCTTCACATGCCTTTCCGTAAAAATGCGCAATTAGGTTGGAACGAACAGACGGGGCGGATCATTGCCGCTAATCCTGGCGGTGTGCCAAGAATCTTGGAAGTACTTAGGATTTGGGAACATCAGAACCAGTAATGTTTAGTTTTCCCACTTTGGTTGTTTTTCCCCACTATCCACGTTTGAACAAGAGAAGTCGAAATTGGGCTTTGGCTCTCTATATATTCTCCTTCGTACCATAATACTAACTAGCCAAAACCCATTTTGTAGAGCACATTGATAACAAGAAAAATCGATCAAATGCCCAAGTTAGAGATTCCAGTAGCAACAATATTAGCCATATCCTTCTTACTATCGCTGCAACCATGTTGCCAAGCCTTCATCACTCAATATCAACCTCAATTATGTCGTCCTCATCAGAGTAACGCATTGATGCAGTTCAAGAAGTCCTCCTCCTCCTTCCTCGTAGACGGCGGCCATGACGACAAAATGGCGTCGTGGAACGAGGGAACGGACTGTTGCTCGTGGGAAGGTGTTACCTGCGACTCCTCGACCGGTCGTGTCGTGGACCTCGACATCAGCTGTCAGCAGATGGACGGATCATCTCCTCCCGATGTTGGATACTACTGTCGCCAATTTCAGAGTACTCTGCCTCATAACAATTTCATCTCCCAGTACTTCCCCCACCTCCGGGGGCTCAATCTGGCATACAATCACTTCAATGGCTCCACAATTTCGTCCGCCATCGCCAAACTAACCGACCTCACTCGTCTTAATCTCTCCCATACTGGGTTTTCTGGCGAAATCCCGTCCGAGTTCAGCCATCTCAAAAAACTCGTTTCACTCGATCTTTCCTTCAACCAGGTCGCCTTCGTGCGAGACGAAGATTACTCCAACGTGCTCTCTAACGCCACGAATCTGAGCGAGTTGTGGCTTCAGGAGGTGAACATGTCAAACATCAAACCTTCCTCCTTCTCCAACTTATCGCGTTCCATGAAGCATCTCGATGTTTCGGACTGCGGACTAACAGGGAAGTTTCCTGAGAGCGTCTTTCGTCTGCCATGCATGGAATCGATACGTCTCAAACGGAACAAAGACCTCTTGGTTCAGCTTCCACGATCAAACTGGTCAGCTGCCTCACTCAAGGTATTAGAAGTTTCCTCAACGAATTGTTTTGGAAAAATGTTGCCCGATTCGATTGGGAATCTCAAGTCCTTGAGGGTTTTGAGCCTAGATGAGGTCGGGTTTATAGGAAATGTCCCATCTTCCATTTGCAACCTCACATCGTTGACATCTTTAGACCTCTCACACAACTCATTTTCAGGGGAATTTCCTCATACAGTTTCCAACCTAGTCCAACTGGAAACTCTGCATATCCAAGTCAATAGCTTTTCTGGCTCATTTCCTCTGACTTTCAGTAATCTTACCCATCAACTAACTGCACTTTCTGTTGACTACAACAATTTCACTGGTCACATTCCATCTTCAATCTTCAACCTGCCAAACCTCCAATGGTTGGGTTGTTCTGACAATCAGCTTGTTGGTCCAATTCCTAGTGAGATAGTCCATAGTAGCTTACATAGTGTCTACCTGAATAATAACTTTCTCAATGGGACCATACCATCTTGGTTGTTAGCCCTACCATCCATGGAAATATTGGGCCTGAGTTATAACCAACTCACCGGAGAAATCCCGGAAATCCAATCGAGTTCCTTGAGATATATCTATCTAGATCACAATCGATTATCTGGCCTTGCACCAACAAGCTCAACGACACTCAAGGGTTGGAATAATCTCCAATGGATGGACCTCAATTCGAACGAGTTATCGGGGACCATGCCGAGCTACATCTGCTACCTCGCTTCGCTTCTGGTCATCGACTTGTCCAACAACAACTTGAGTGGCAGCATTCCTGAGTGTCTGTTCAATCTCGCCGAATTGTCGGTCTTGAATCTGAGGAACAACAACTTCCACGGCCCGATTCCATCGTCGATGTTTGGTAATATGAGCAAGCTAACACACGTGGACTTGAACGGGAACAAATTGGGAGGGTCACTGCCTGCACAATCACTGGCGACTTGCAAGATGTTAGAAGTATTGGATGTCGGGAACAACAACGTTGATGATGTTTTCCCACAATGGTTGTCGAACCTTCCCAGTCTCAAAGTTCTCATCTTGGGCTCCAACAGCTTCCACGGTGCTGTCACGACGAGTAACAGCTTTTCAATGTTACAGATATTAGACCTTTCCAACAACTATTTCAATGGTTCTCTGCCCGCAGGTCTGTTTCACAAGTTCCCTGCGATGAAGATGTTGAAAGATAAGTCCGAGGAAGTGGGAACAGAATACTACATTGGATTGGTAAATTACAAGTTTTCATTTGTTCTGACGGTGAAAGGCAAAGAGTGTGTGGTAAACAAATTTCCCAGTGTCTTTACCACCTTGGATATGTCGAACAACTACTTTCGAGGCGAGATACCCGACGCAATTGGAGAGCTCGGGTCGCTCCTGTTCCTGAACCTGTCACACAACAACTTCGTCGGCCCAATCCCTTCCTCGTTGGGGAACATGCGAGAGCTCGAATCGCTGGATCTTTCCTCAAATCGACTCTCGAGGAAGATCCCATCGCAGCTCACGAGTTTGACGTACCTTTCGTTCCTGAATCTATCGCGAAATTCGCTCGTTGGGCCGATACCTCAGGGAAACCAGTTCGGGACGTTCGATGCTGCTTCTTATGCTGGAAACGAAGGGTTGTGCGGGGTTCCGTTGTCCAAGAAGTGTGGAGGTGATGATGAGGATGGTGATCATGATCAGGATTCCGAACCTGAACTCGAATCTGGTGGAGAGCTATTTAGTTGGGGTTTCGCAGGGGCGGGATATGGGTGCGGACTAGTGATTGGGATATCGACCGCCTACATCATGTTCAGCACCAGGAAGCCAGAATGGTTGGTGGAGATTGTTGAGAACTGGACTTGGCGAGGGTGATAACCTTGAACAAAAATGAAGTTGCTTTTGCTTTCGTCCTTTCCTTTCATTCGCTTGTCGAGCTTCATTGATAGAAGCTGAACCTGCCCGTGAAAGCACGCTGTAGGCAAAGGATTCTCCAGGGGCCATGCTCTTGCTGTTGTAGTTTGGATTATGATCCATCATTGCTCGCTGATATCGATGTTGACGTGCTTCTGACTCCTACTGAAGTAGTTCTGTTCTTCGGATTGTAGGACTTGCTCGAAGTGCTGCTAGTTGTTCCTGATGCCGATCGTTTATGGACTTTATTTTCTGAAACATGGAACAAAGAGGAAAGTGTGTTTGAGGTTTATAATCTCTCTGTACTCATAAACATACCCCCAAGATAGATGTAATTTCCAGATGCACAAGCACATCAACGCAGCTTGGGAACTTAACCGAACCCCGTTAGAAGATGTGTACTAAGACTAGGAGAATAGGAATGAAGAGCATTTTCTTTTTCAGGATTCGTGCTGCTTTTCATTCACCTAGTCCACATACAGATGTTCAAGTAGGTGACGGTATTTAATATCAACACATATGATTCAATAACTGTGTTGTCGAAAAGAAGCTAACCTCTCTGTGTCTGGAAAATCTCTGCATCCTCAGCATCACTCTGCTCCTCCTTGACTAATTTCATGATGTCGTCAAGGAATTTCTGTTCAAGGCCTTTAAATGTTTGCAAATGTGGCTTCTCTTCAAAAGAGAGCTCTGCATATCAACGTTCCCTTGTTGCTCCAGACCCACATGGGACTCTGACCTTTTCCCCTGAATATAAGGCCTCGATGCATCAACCACTTGACCTGCATTAACAGAAGATGCAAGTACCATAAGAAGAAAGAACCAGCAACAAGGAAATGGATTTGGATTGTGTACTGAAAAGACTTGCACAAAATTAATATGCTACTGCAGACCCAACTTCCACTTTCAATCTCATACTCTTTCTTGTTTTTCCATTTCACATGTGAAAATCAACAACCAAAGTTACCTTCATTGAACATCTGGGATGCTACTGAACTCGCCGCCTTTGATTCATCCCTCACCCAACGCCACTGCCCATCAGGTTTCGATGAAGGCCTCCAGTTGTCCTTGGAAATGATCAGACCCTTGTTCACCCCTCTGACTAGAAATATCGACTGCTGCATCTGACCACCACCATAAGCAGTGCCACCAGAATCAGCATACTGGCCCTGCCGTCTCATCATCCAAAAATAAAACCCGCTTTGCAGGTTGATCTGTGACATTCAGAATCCAAAATACACATACTTAGCAATGCGTATATACGATTGCAGGCACCAAAGCAGATCTCTTCGTGTTAAGTGGGGGATGAAGATGGGACAAAAAGATCATTCGCACGTTCTGGTAATGCGGATTCAGAAGCAGCACGAAGTCTTGATAGAAAGTTTCAATCTGCCGCACCAAACAAGCAACAAGATAAGCCTCAAGATAACCCATTTATAAATCAATGCCCTACCTACAGAGTCCAGACGACAACGTTATTTCCAGAACCCTAGAGCGAGGAGGCCAACAGATTGACGAAGCAGGAAGGTAAACCTCAAAAGACATTTATGCAACTGAACAACTGAAAATTCTCGCGAGGGGAATCAGTACTCGAACCTACCGAAGTTACTTCGCAGGGGATTTTGTTCTTACCGGAGCCCTTTACGGAGATGGAGGACAGACGAGCGCGAGGCACTCTTGAGTCGCAGTAGCGAACGGTAGGAGAATCGGCGATGACAGGCACTCTTTCCTGTTGCTTTCCCGTTGTTGTGTAATGTTGCTGCTTCTGCTGGAAAAACAAGTAGAATTGTTTGAAAATTTAATTATTATCAACCCTAATGTTATCTTATATCTTATATTTTATTATCTCTTGTGCAATATCATTGTCGGAAGGTTTTTTTGAATTTTATTTCTTTTTTGAACCGTTTCCTTCCATATATTGTCTTTTTCGATCTGATGTTTGAGCAACTAATTTATTAAAAAAAATTAGTCAAGGGCAGGGGCAGCAGCTTCCTGGACAGGTTGGTGTGGATCGAGGGCAACAGGTTTCTATGCCCTATCGTTGTTATGTGGATGGTGTTGTCCTCGTTGGGTCGTATGGTGCTGGGGGCTTGGTGGTCTATGATAGGTTGGGAAGGGTTTGTTTTGTGCAATGTTTTCGTTATGCAGGTCTGGAGGATCCCTTTCTGGTGGAATTGGTGGCATTTCGTGATGCGATTCAGTTGTGCTCTTTGAAGGGTTTAGTTGAAGTGCAATTCTGCGGGGATGCAAAGGTCGTCATTGAGAAAATTCAGAATATGGATGCGCGGGATATGAAGGGTGGACGGATTCTTGAAGAAATTCGGCAGTTGCGGCGTCTGTACCTGCGGTTGGAGATGGTCTTTGTTGGCAGGAGTAACAATCGGGTGGCCCATGAGATGGCTAGGAAGACCCTTTCTTTCTTGTCTGCGGTTGCAGATACTTTTGATTTTAGTCGTTGGTTTGCTCTTGAAATGTAAACTTTGCTAGCCTTTTGCCTTGATAATACAAGTGATCTATTGGTAAAAAAACTAATTTATTATAATTTTGATTATCTCCTCACTTTCCTAAAGTTTTATCATTATTTCTTATAAATCGGCCGAGATTTTTTTTCCGCTATATACTCCAATTTTACTTGTGACTAGAGTTGAGAATCATTTTCATCAATTCATATAGCGGAATAAAAGCTTATGTCAGCTAAAAAATTTGGACTGTAATTTTGGTTAAAAAATCTCATAACATAAACTGAATATAACTTTGACAGAAAAATCTCACAGCATAACAACTCACGTTAAAATGAATTGGATTTATGAAATGAGAATTGCCAAATTCATCATGGGTCAAATCCATGAGACATCCATGCGTCTCATGGATTTGAGTTCGACACACTGGTTTGCTTTGCAGATTTGTGAAATACATCATCCATTCAGTTTCCAATCCATAGATGCCATAATTGACACAAAATAATCTATTTAAAAAGCACACATGCATTGGAGTAGTCTAATGTATGGATTAGAAATTAGCTACTAGTTTAAACTACGCATACAAACACAGAATGACAGAACCAACACGAACATTCTCAGGTGCTTAACGTAAACAGTTTTATCATACAAACACAGAACCAACACGAACATTCACAGGTGCTTCACATAAACAGTTGTATCGTCAATTGTCTCATCTTATAAACAAACACATGAAAGCCCTTCTTGAAGAGATTGCATTTGGCTCATAAAACTGAACTCCGGATCGAAACATGGAGCGCCATCAATGCATCTACTCAAGGTTGGCCATTGACCTGGAACTCAGTAGTCGGCGACCAAAGCCCACCAGCTGATGCTGAAGTCGAAGCTGACACAAGTGAGCTTCTTCTTCTTACTGTTCTTCAGTGTCATCTTCAGGGTGTAGGAGCCCTGTAAGGAAAAAACAAGCAAACAATCAACCAGATTATCCCATTCAGATAATAAGGATTGCAGCGTTCGTGGACTTATGGCTTGAATATTCTTTTTTTAAACAATGGCACCAAATATGATGTGCATAAGTTTTGCATAAATATTCTCAATCAAACTCGTTTCATCAATCTTCGTTCGATGAAGATGCAGTATCTCAACTTTTAACATCCACGCCGACTCTCAAAGTTCCTACAACTCTCAAAGTTCCTACAACGCTAAAAACTGGTTACCGCCATCATCTACGATGACTAAATGTTCTCCAATGAGTAAATTCTCAGGGGAAACACAAGGAGTAATAGAGTAACACACTACCGATGATGAAACCAATTATCTTGCAATAAAAGAGTGATCATTGTCAAACTAAAAATTGCAGGAAGTAAACTGATAAACCAAGTGACCTCATCGACTCAGGACTAATGCACATCTTCTTTGTAGTCATCTAGTGGGAAAAGTAAAACAGCACCATTGACACTTTGATAGACCTCAGGGACTCGGATGCTTAAATCTATGGACACCACAGTGTTGAAGAATACTGAGAGGTCTAAAAGAATGTTACTTACTGGTGGAGTGAATCCGGGCAAACTTTGCGAGTGAGAGAGCAGGAAATCGCCAGCAGCAATAGGGCACGAGATATCCTCGCACAGGTCTCTGGTCTCTGAATGAACACGGAACCCAAGCAGGTAAACCTCAAGCAACACTTCCCCACCAGCGATAGCCTCAGCTGTTACAATAAAAACACAGGAGGTTCATATCAGATCAACACATATAGATAATCAGATAGCTACTTCACTACAGCAACTCAATACCCAACAGAGCTCCCCCCAATGAATAACACGATCGAGAAGGAACCATGGCGAATCAACATGGAACATCACTTAATACCGTTCATTACTTCAAGTCAGCGGTTATAACAAAAGGGCTTAGGCAGCAAGTCAAAGCAAGGGTCAAAATCCCTAAACGAGAGTTCTTCTGATTAACTTCGCAAACAAACAAACAAACAGGAATAAGAGAAAGGGCAAAGGATTTAGTGAGTACCAGTGGAAGCTGAGATTGCGAAATTAGCCTGCTTGCCAGCAATCACAGGATCAGGAGTGATTTTGATTCCTTCGACCTTCACGGCATAGTTGGCTTTGGCATCTGCAGTCAATCATCACCCATGACCAATTCTTCCCAAATCAATCAAAATCCTCAATTACATAACTCGATTGAAACGAAAGCAGTAAGGTTGGCAAGCTCAGGAGAAGCCTATAGCTGATTTTCCCCGGGAAAGAGGGGAAGCGGTCCGAACAACGAGAGATGATGAATTTATGAGAGGCTGATTGACTAACCGCAGTACTTGACATCGGTGGCGCGAGCGGAAGGTGCGAGGAGGAGACAGATGGCCGCGAGGAGGAAGAGGTTTCGCTTAGCAGTGAGGAAGGAGAACGACGAGGTCGCCATTGATTTTTTGCGGACGAGAATCTGTTTGGTCGCTGAGAAAGTTGTGGGAAATCCAGAGAAAACAGGACAGTGAACTGAATCGATGTGACTCAGTGAGAGTTTCTTCCCTTCCCCAGCTTAAATAATAAATAGCGTCTGACTTCTGTTGGTTTTTTTTTTTTTTTTTTTTTTTGGTGTTGGTTAACCACTAAAATCAACTCCAATTCTTGAGGCATATTGAGGTATTTGTAAGTATGGAAGAAAATTTCTCCTCTAACCAACAAAATATCCTTCCAAATAGCGGTGCTCAAAAACGGATTGATTATCGTGCTAATTATTAACAGTTAGGCTTTCGATAATTTGATTTGATTAATTTGGATAAATAGTTTGGTTTGATTAAAATGTTTAACTTGTCCAGTTTAGATGATTTAATTTGGTTTCAGACAAGACTAACCAACCAAACCAATTATGCAATTACATGTTTGTGTAGGTTAGTGGGTCTTGGCGCAACTAAATATAATTTTTAACAGAAGGGTATTTTTTTGTTACGTTGTGATTTTAGAATGGTACGTTTGTGCAACAACAAAAAAATAGTACAGGGGCACGTTTGTTTATTTGTAATTGTCATAACAGAAGCGTGCAATCGATAATTCAGATCAACACAAACGAACATGAATTTAACGTGGTTCACTAACACAATGTGTGTTAGGTAATCCACGGGCAGGGGAGAACAAATTTACTGATTTGAGGAGAGTACAGGTTACAAACCAAATTCCGGAACGCGCACAAACCAAACTAACATGACTGACCTTACTACATATTATGGTGGTGAAAAATATTTATACTTTATAGAACTCTTCTCCTAACGACAAACAAAAAACCAAACAACTTTTTCAAACATATAAGGAAAAGGGTCAAAACAAAACCCAAACACAACCCAAAACAAAATAAGCCCCAAAACAAAACAAACCCAAATCAAATTCACCTTCGTTAATCTTCCTAATTATATTAAGCAACAAGATCTAGCCCTTGCATTTCATTTTTGTTCGATCACCATTTCACACAAAAAAAGAGCACAAACTTTTGCAGAATTACAGTGACTTGTCGTGATATACTGATATTATTAGAAAAATATGCGAATGCATATTTTTATTAAGATCTCCTACAGTAACTTGGGTATAATTTTAAGTTAGGTAACTTGCATAGATCTAAACCGTTAAAATCGATCAAATTTATTTTAAACCATTGATTAAAGAAATAAAAAATAAGTAAAAAAAATCAATGGCAACATGGGTTGCGGGTGGCCACAAAGCAAGTTACCTTTCTTGTTTTTTTTTCTTTCCTTTTTCATATTTATTTGTTTTTTCTTATTTTATCCTTTCCTTATTTTAATTCTGATTAAAGTAGAAACGTTACGAAAGGCTTCCGTAATAACTTAGCACTTTACGTAACGTGAGATTAATACTCATTACGTAAAGAGACCTTCCATTACGTAAAGGTTACGGAACGATAGTTATTTTTTACGTAACAGTGAAATCGAAAGCGTTACGTAAAGCTTCCGTAATCACTTAGCTTTTTACGTAACACGACATTAATACTCATTACGTAAAGAGACCTTCAATTACGTAAGGCTTCCGCAATGACATTTTACAACTGTTACGTAAAATACACATTCATTACGTAAAGCTTACGTAATGACTTAACATTTTACGTAACACGAGGTTAATACTCATTACGTAAAAAGACCTTTCATTACGTAAAGGTTACGGAACGACAGTTATTTCTTACGTAAAAGTTAAATCAGTAGGTTACGTAAAGCTTCCGTAATGACGTAGCATTTTACGTAACGCGAGATTAATACTCATTACGTAAAGACACATTATATTACGTAAGACTTCCGTAATGATCTTTTACAACTGTTACGTAAGATTACCATATGTTACGTAACCGTTACGTAATACCTATTATATTTTACGTAATGCGACCTGTGAAACCTGCTATAGCAGGTAAAAAAATTCAAGTTACCTTACTTCAAGTTATTGTAGGAAATCCCTCTATTTTTATTTTATTGCTTGGTAATCAGCGATCAACATCAAAGAGCCAGGAAAGTAAACATGAAGAAGAATCAACCGACCAATCTTGTAGAGGAGGGACAAACCTCCCCACTCGGGCCGGGCTTCTTTAATTTCCTAGTATATGGGCTTCACAATAAGCCCGACTACGGAATAACAACGTTAAGGGCCCACCAATCCATGCAAGCTGAAGCAGGATCGGCCCACTTTATTCACTGAGCACGGAGGGGAACAAACCGAGAGGGAAGTTTGAAGCTGATGCAAGTCAGCTCAAATCTACCAGTTTCCCTCAACGTCATCTTCACTGTGTAGAAAGGGCCCTGTTTCAGAAGAAGAAGAAGATCGCAAAACCATCATCGTATTATGAGAAGAAAACAACGCCGATTTGGGTACGTACGTGCATGCATGCATGCATGCATGAGAGCCAAACTAATTCTTCAAGAAGAAGAAGAAGAAAAGAAAATCTTACTGATGGGAGCATAATAGTTCGGACTTCAGATAAATCGAAGTAGCCAGGAAGAATAGGACAGTGGATATCGCCCTTGCAGAGCTCTGTAGTTCCCGAATAGAGACGGATCTTTCCATCGTAAACCTCCATCTCCACTTCTCCGGCTTGGATATTCACAACTGTTGCAAAATATTCATAGACGAACAAAAGTGAATGCACTAAATTGTCAAAGACCAGTTGATTCCAATAACTCAAGTTGCTGGAAGAGGTTTAATTACGAATCATATACGGTTTACTAAGACACTCTCTGATCAAATGAGAGCCACCTCATAAGGGATTGAAGTTTGCACACGTCAGGACATGACCAGTTGATCCTAATAACTCGAATTGTTGGGAGATGTTCAATTATGGATTCAGGAGCGGAGCTAGCATGGCGCAAGAGGGGATTCCATGGCACCCCCAACTAGAATAGAAATAGGGAGTAAGTTATGTCCAAACATTTGAGAAATCATATCATTTCGCGGCAATTCGACCGTTTTTTTTTTTTTTCATAGCGGCGCGTTCAAATTGGTACCTAGTTTTGCAGCTGGTATGAAACGATTGAGTGATCACGACATAAATACAAATGCCCTGCCACTAACTTATCATGTATAACCTCCAATATCCTTCGAATTCGAGAGAACAAAAATTAATGTTTTATAAACTTAAAATAAAGACTAATATTTTTTATTAGAAAATTCACCCAAAAAAAAAACTTATTAGTGAGTCTCACAACTAAATTTCTAATTCACTTCTCTGAAGATATTCTCATTATTTTGAAGTCCAATGAATGACAATATCGTAATTTTTCTATATGGTACACATTACAAATGAAATTATCCATATAATCGAGATTAGCCGTACGTACCAGTGGATGCTGAGATGTTGAAAGTAATTGGCTTTTTGAGAACCGCGGGATAGGGAGTGATGTCAACTTCGTAAACACTCACTCTATACAAGACTTCGTCAACTGCATTATTTGCATGCATGCATGCAACGACTAATTCGTCATCCCATTGAGAAGAAGAAGAAGAAGAAGAAGATCGATGATCACTGACCGCAGTATTGGAAATCTACTGGGGTGGCGTGAGCAGAATCAGGCAGAAGGATGAGACAGATGGCGGCGGCGAGGAGGAGTAAGACGGAGAATGACGACGACGGTGTCGCCATTGGTTTGATATGAAAGCTTAAATAAGAATTTACTTGGTGGGTTTGGTTGGTTGCTGATGAGTAGTGATGAAGCTAGCTAGCTGTATATATAGAGAGAGCCGATGGGTACGGGATGGAATACATGTGATCCGCAATCCACCTACATATTTATGTGTGTTGGGTTGGGTGGGTGGCGGATGGGTGCGGTTGGGTCGCGGGTTAACCAGCAAAAGTTATTCTCAAACTAGCCATTAAGAAAATTGACTTAACATTTATAATAAGTTCAAAGCAAATTAGTAAAGATTGTATCAATAATTTGTGATTTTGATACAATTAATAATTTACAGTTTGTATCCCAAAATTTAATGGATTAACAATAATTTGCATACCAATATTCAATATCCAATGGATATTGCACAACACGATAACCAATAATAGTAGTCAAAACTGTTCTTTATTTTCCACCTTTTGAAGTATATGGTCAGACTGTAGTGCAATTCGAAAATATGATGAATATTCGATACTATAACAAACAACATTTTCCATGTAAAAATAGGACGCGGGTCATACGGGTGATCCGCAATCCACCCACCATCCACCCACATAAGTGCAGGTGGGAGATTTAATAATCTGCAATCCACCCGCATCAATCACACACTGTATGCGGGTTGGGTTATTTACGGATGGATCGATATCAATCCGCGGATTAACCACCCACGTGCCCACCCCTGCTTACTAGGCAGTGGTGGATCCAGGAATTGTACGTACGGGTGTCCTCTCTAAAAAATTAAATTGAATTAAATATTAGAAATAATTTAATATTATTAAATTTTAAAATATCTAACTAATAAAAGTTACATTAAAAGTTGAGACGTGTTTCGTAAAATGGTAAAATGCATTCGGTGTTTATACTGCTCAACAAATATCTCTCAACATATCCTACTAGACAAGGGTATCCCGTAATTGAGTTTAATCGTTCGGTTTTGAAAATAATTTGAGATAAGAATAACATTTTACTATTATATTTTGATCTAAAACACAATAACAAATGAGTTGTAGCGTAATTGAAAATATATTAACTAATAGTGGCAGTGTCCCAATTTTAAATCATATAGACTACTACTTAGATATTATTTGTACCAATACGCAAAACTACTACGGGAGGTTGAATAATCATTTTCCCATACTACTATCGTAGGTTGAATAATCGTGTTTCCAAATTTTAGTGGTGTCCCGGGACAACCCTAAACATGCATGTATCTGCCACTGTTACTAGGTATAAATAGTAAGGGATAAATATCTCACGGATCGACTTCTTACAAATGATTTGAAAAATCGACGGTTCGGCCAGAAAAAAAAATCGATACCGGTAGGTGGTATTTGGTAGTATGAAAGGTTGGACCACTATTTCAACATAAAATACTCTACTTCTGATTTTTCCGGTACAATTTTTTATTAATGTTTGTGAATGAAATTATTAATAGTGTGCAATATTGTTATTAACATTTTAAAATAAATTATTAATAACATACAAGGCAATATTTGTGAAAGTAATTATTAATGATATGCAGTGGTATTGTTAACATCTTTTTTTTATCGTTTGCGAAAGAAAGTTATTAACGATGAAAATGAAAGTGGAAGATACGAACCATCAACAAAAAAAAAAAGTGGAAGATACGTGGTCGTGTTGATAATAATGGTAGAGTGGAGTGAGTTTACCTTTTTTTATGTTCTAATTTTTATATTTAATTAAATTCATTAATCATTTAAACATTACCATATGTTTATCATTTTTAGTTTTTTCTCGTTCTCTCCTGACTGATATCTAATTACTAGTACTGACTTTACATACGTGCATTAATTAATCGTGTATGATGCAATTGAATATTCACTGTCACTACCTACTCTGTATTAATGATATTTGTAATCGTTGTTGGTGGTGGTTTGATAATAGAAAGGACTTGATTCATTAGTTAATTAATCATGAAGTGAAGTGTAACGTAGGAGAGGTACAATACACAAATGCATGCATCGCCATTTGCACTTACACATCACAACACAATATGGGAACACGTACGATGGAAACATATCATTACGTAACCCTCATACTCGCTCAAGAACATATATACAGATTAATTGTTTTTTTTTAAATACAATATATTAGCCACAATTATTGTTCTTATAGTGCTATTTAAAAGATTTGAATCTGAAATTTGCAAGTTTTATACTAGTGGTATTATCACTATACCAAACTCATTTTTCGCAAACATACGGTTAATTGTTCAAATAACAAAAAAAAATTATATTATGTATTTTTCTCTAAATTCGAGTTAGTGCCATGTCTCTTATAGAGAAAAAAATGTCGGATGAAATCCCAAAATGCATATGTTTTTTAAAAAAATTCCCAAAATACACATGTTTGGGCATCATCGTTATTGTCAACCGCGGTGAATGCATTCACCGTGGCAGACCAAAGCGGTGAATGCATCACCGCGGTTGACGGTCGCGGTGAATGCTTGACGTAACACTGAAACTTCAAACAAACGTAACTTTGCGCTCGATTATCCGATTCTAGCGAAATGTTTTTATGATTCCACATAACTTTTAAAGATCTTTCAATCTGTAACAAGACTTAATCTAAAAAAAATGTCGTTTGTTACCCCGAACGAGCAATTTTTCGATTTTGCCAAACTTTGGAAGGAAATAACTTCTAGCTCCTCAATCCGAACGTCGTAAAGTTTTTTTTTATTGCGCATAAATTTTTAAGAACTACAACTTTTACTAGGAAAGAATTTTTTAAAAAAGAAATATTTTTGGGTATACGGGATTTTGGCAATAACTTTGTCTTTACTTTTCACAAATACACATACTTTCCAAATTTATGGTTATAATCAAAGTTGGAGTCCTTAAAAAGTTATGCAAAATAAAAAAAGTTTCATGACATTCGAATTGTGGAGCACAAAGTTATGGTCTTCCAAAGTTTGTCAAAATCAAAAAATTGCTCGTTCGGGTAGTAAACGAATTTTTTTGGGATGAAGCCTTGTTGCAGATTGAAAGATCTTGAAAAGTTATGTGGAATTAAAAAAAATTCGCTACAATCGGATAACCGAGCGCAAAGTTACGTTTGTTTGAAGTTTCAGTGTTACCTCAGGCATTCACCGCTTTGGTCTGCCGCGGTGAATGCATTCACTGCAGTTGACAACAGCGGTGATGCCCAAACATGTATATTTTGGGAATTTGTTTTATAATGTGTGTATTTTGAAAATTGTTTTTAAAAATATGTGTATTTTAGGATTTTTTTTCCCAAAAATGTCAGTGTCATATCTTTTACTTCATTGAATTTTAACAGATGTGCTTATGCATGAGCAAGACAGATTATTTTATTGATAGTTTGGTTACATATGGACCATCGCATTTGGTTGCGTTGGTACTTTTTTTTAGTCTCTTTGCTATGCCGTTTGAGCTTACCTCGGAAAAAATGACAGTATTTGTATGTATTGAAGTTCTGTGAGAATTCTACTTGTATTCATTATTAGTCTTTTGTACTTTATATAGCTAGAAGATAAAGTACATGAGCTGATCGTGCAGACGAAGAAAAAATAGGGAAAATAGGTGCTAACGGAAGGATCGTGAGTGACAAACGGTAAGTGACTTTTTTGGAATTTCGCATGATCAATGCACACTGAGTTTAAGAAAACAGAAAAAGATGTTATTCGGTTAACACCTCTTCAAATACTGTTCGCACGAGGGTATTTGATGCATACATCAAAGGATCTAGTTACTGTTACCTCTACTCTTATGGAGATTCCTTGAGAGCTTCGCAACTACTGACTACAACTAACAGATAAGCCTCGTGGAGGGTCCCTGGTGCTAGTGTTACGGTTACTATTCTAGAGAGAAAAAGATTAATTTTGACGAGACTTGTTGTGGTTTGATTTGTCTGCCCCCCATCAGAAGCTTGTTGCCAGTTTTATTGTGCCTCATCCTCTAATCGTCTTCTCTCTCTTCTTGAAAATCAGCTCTGTGTAGCATCCACTAACTCCTCTCCGGGCGTCCTTTGCAAGCAAGTTGTTGCTTTCGGTAACCACCTTCGACACGTCATCATGTCACTAGGTCATCAACCTTGCATACCATGATGGACAATTGGATGGTTATCATACACCAAACAACTTGGATGGTATCCATGTTGACTAAGAAAACCATCCATGGATGGTAACCGAACAAGATGGTCACCATAACATAACATGGACGACACCATCCATTTATAGGGTTGCATGGTGTCCATGATCTTAGATGGCACCATCCAATCAGAGATTGGATGGTGTCCAAGATGAATGGGAATATGGGATGGTACTATCCATAGTAGGGCTTGGATGGTATCCACGATGTTGGACACTACCATCTATTCATAGGGTTGCATGTAGCGATGAACAAACACACCCGCAAACCGACCCACCCGTCCAACCCGATCCAACCCACCCGTATTTATCGCTAAAATTAAGGTTTTGGGTTGGGTGAGGGTTTTCTTTTGTACAGCCCGCCACTTTTGGGTTGGATTTAGATTTTGGATTACACAACCCGTCGAACCCGACCCAACCCGTGTTCCAACTATTAGTATGAGTTCGTGTACAAAAAATATTTATGTCGTATATAGCCATACTTATAAGAAAATTAAGATATTTTGCCATATTTTTCTCTCATGGTCTCCCTAACCTAATGCATTCATCGACTTAAATTTTATACATAGATTTAATATAGCTATGATTCACGTAATACTTTTTCTTGTGTACAATTTTAATAGAATAACATATTATGAATGCGTTTGTTTATAACCTATTTAGCATATTTAAACAAATATTGTGAAAAAAAACTAGACATATGTTGAAGTAAATTATATTTTATTAAAATTCAAACAATATTTGTGAATTTCGATACCTTTCACCTTGGTTTATTCGTTTGAAATTTTAATTAGTTATAAAAATATTTTTATGGTGTAGAATAATTACATGTTTTGTGTTGGGTTGGGTTTTTACTTA